GAGGGCAGTGTCACTGGCCCTCATATGTGGGATCTGAACCGGGGCCCTCTGGTGTCCCAAGCCAGCTCTTAACCAACGCGCCACTCGGCTGGCCCCACACTATTCTTTATTTAATAGTTTTTTTCAATGGTCTCTCCCTTTTTTACCTAAATACATTTGTTTAAAATGGAAACTCAGTATCACTGCTATAAATGGGGAACAGGGCTCATTTACCACAAATAGAAGGTATCACTAAAGACTGGACAGAAAAAGAAAGCCGTCAAACTCTAAGTAGACGCTACTGCCTGCCCGAAGCTCTGAGCGCTATTGAAAACAAGGTTTGGCAAGAGTCAGAGACCGCTGATACCGAGGGGACCCTCAGATGTGTGGCAATCAGGATTCAAACAGTTAAAAATCCAAGTACAGTACGTCCCCGACTTATGAGCGAGTTCCGTTCCGGGAGAACATTCGTAAGTCGGATTTGTTCGTAGATCCGACAAAGTGACTCTTATACACCTTTGACGCAAATATACACTGGAAAGCCAATGGTTGAACGATTCATGTTATAAGAACGAGCGACGTCTACCATCTTTTCGCCTCGGTCCAATCTCAATTATTTTCACTTTTGTTTCCATGGTTATTGCTTTGCGCTTCCTAGCAGTCCCCTCCACATCACCACTGCTTTTGCTCTTGCTTCCGGGCACCCTGGGCTCTGATGGAGCACTATACTACTTACTCTACACTATCGCACTGGACAGTGAGCACACAGCAGCACAACAGTGACAATGTCCGGCAGACACGCGAGCTACTTCTGCGATTTGTTCACAGCCCAAATGTTAAGTCAGGGGCTTACTGTAGCTGTCTCACAACGTGGTTTACCGTTAGCAGGATTTCATCAGGCGACAGAGGGCTGTTTTTTCACATGTGCACATCTCTGAGGTGTGCCGACAGCCAGCTGGCAGTTGCATGGACCTGTCACTTACACATGCTCCACGTGGTCACTGATGGTCATACTGTTGTCACTTCCCATGAGCTACGTGCACCTCCAGTCCTGCAGGGGTCAGTCCATTTGCCATTTACATGTCTTCAAAAAGACATGCAGCAATGAGACAGATGTTATTAGGGCCGGCCCCCCGATCCATGGGGGATTTGTTCCAAGGCCTCCAGTGGATGCCTGAAACAGCGGATAGTAACGAACCCTACATACACTACGTTTGTTCCTATACATACATGCCTATGATACAGTTGAATTTATAAATTAGGCACAGTAAGAGATTAACAATAAAATATAAAATGATAACAACCTACTGTAATAAAGTTATGTGAATGGCTTTGGGGCCATGCTTACATCAAAGGAGGTGGCTTGAACATAAGCACTGCAATCTGGTGACAGTTGATCTGGTAACCCACAGTTGTACAGCATGCATGCTCTGGACAAAGGGGTGATTTACGTCCTGGGAGGGATAGAAAGGGACAATTCAAGATTCCATCATGGCGTGCAATTTAAAACTTATAGTTTATTTCTAGAATTTTCCATTGAATATTTTTTGGACCGCCGTTGACCATAGGTAACTGGAACCACAGAAAGTGAAACCGTGGGTAACGGGGAACTCCTGTAAATATCCAATGCCCTCAATTCTGTGTTTTTACAAAGCAACGCGTGTGTCTCAGAAGATACCCACAGAAGCTGTGTTCTGCTCTGTTGCTGGAGCCCTGCGAAGGGACTTCCTGTCACGTGACTTGGGGCAGGAGGAATTGCCAGCCCTCTTGGAGTAGATGAAAGGAATCCAGAGCTATGAAAGGCTGGCATGACTGACTCGTGTCACACGGGCTCGTCACTAGTCCTGTGCCACCGTTTAATTGGCAGTGTGATTCTCTTTCTTAGAGGTTCATAAAACAACGGTGCATCTTACAAGCAAAGGCATTTTAAAAGTGATGAACCATGGTATTTAATCTAAAATCACCCGCTGTATGGAGACACTCCTGCATTACACCACATGGGCTCTCATCACAATTTCCAGGCCGGGCACTGGGCGCAGGGCCATCTCCCCCACAGAGCGGTGGCTCTGTCAGGCCCACCTCAGAGCCCCCTGGGGGACTTACTCAGAATCAGGTTGCTGGACCCTCCCCCGCAGAGGATCTGACGCGGTCGGTCTGAGCGGAGCCCGAGAATCCGCGCTTCTCATCAGCGCCCACGATGCCGACCTGGCTGGCCCATCCTCGGAGCGGCACTGTCCTATCGTTTCACCCGTCATTCAAGCCCTTCATCCTCTGGCCCTTCAGCCTGGCGGGGTAAGTGGGGAAGTGTCTGGGTGATACCAGAATCCAGGTAGGAACCACTCATTCTTTCGGACATCTCAGATGATAGCATCCCTCTGGCATCGTTCACGGCAAACAGAGTGTAATTTATGGGGTAGGCTGGGCCGGGAAGGCTCGGGGTCTTCTCGGGACACCCTTCTCAAGGACTTCACCAGGTCAGTGCTGCTTCATATAAACTTAGGCTATGGCTTTAAATGTGGGGTCAAGGCCCTGGATGAACTCAGAAGGCTGGGCTGGAATCTATTCACAGTAATATTTAGGTCAAAATTTAGCACAAACAAGCCAGGCACACCTGTCACGCCTGCTCACACGTGTTCTACAGTAGCTGGTGACATAGGCAGGTCCCTTTCCTTTTGGGGGCGTGTGTTACTGGTTTAGCAAAAAGAAACGTCCATGCACTTTTTTCCTGAAACAGGACAATCCATTTTCAAGCCACCAGAACATTTTCCAAATGGAGTATCTGTCAACACTGCCCTCTGTCCTGAAAGCAAGAAGCAGGGAACGTGTCCTCAGGAAGAACTGTTTCGTATGTAGACGGTACTAAGTTTCTTTCTCCAAAAGGCCCAGATCTGCTCACATGTTCACCGAACTGAACGTAAAAAATGCTTTAAGAAACAGAAGACGAAGCCTTGTCCTGGGTACAAAAGGTTTATTGCTTTTAAAAATAAGTTACAAAACCAAACACTCAGCACAACACGTATGAACGGGGGCTCATTCCAACCACAGCGGCTCATGGACAGGACTTAGCACGCGGTCCAGGGGGGTGAATTCCTGATGCTGACGCACACGGAGGGTCACGCTACCCAGCTTTCTCATGCTGAGTCCTCAGGCAGTTTTCCCGGCCTCCCATATCTGGGTAACGTGTCGAATCAGTTCCATGCACACAGAGATGGACTGTTATTCCAGGGGCTTGGTCTTAGCGAACAGCATGCTGTTTTACCAAAGGGGCAGGGGGCTGCGTTGACACGGGGCAGTGAAAAAATGCTGAGCCATGCGTACACTTGGGGCTTGTCTGGAAGGGTGCAGCCTGGGGGTCTGCGCTGGCGGGGCGGGGCGGGCGGGGCTACTGCCGGCAGGTGTCGTGGAAGGCTTCGAGGGTTCGGAAATCCCTCCACGTGGGGGGAAGGCCATCCTGCAGAAACTTCCCGCAGCGCTGGCATGGGGCCTGGAACAGCTTTATGTAACTTCTCAACCAGGTCTAAAAAGAGAGCAAGGAGAGAAATGAAATCAATCGAATCCGGGCGCTTCCAATGACATTTTCCTGTCATGCTTAACGACCTTGAGGACAGGGAACGTAGGTGCCTGTGATTCCTGAAGGGGCCCTGGGCCTTTGCGGCAGTGCTGCATGGGATCCACAAGGTCATAGCGGCCGCTGCCCGGCCCCTCCTGATGGAGGCAGGTTTTAAAATAGAAATTCCTGCTCTCAAAGGCAGGAAGTGCTCCCGGGGGATGGCCAGGAACTACGCCCCAGGCCTGTGGCTCCCGCTGCACGGAACCACCTTTCGTTTGTGAGTCCCTGTCTTCTGAATATTAGTATTGATCCTCTCCTGTCCACGGCCAAGCAGAGGCCATGTGCACGTGCGGGGGAAGGCTGAGCATTGTGTCGACTTTAGAATTCTCCACTGAGGTCAACGTGTCTTCTTTCTAATCGGATTTCAGAGGTCATCACTCACTGTCACACTGTGGCCCAGCACACCTGGGGGAGGGCGGGGACAACCTGGTGCCACCAAGTAACATAATAAGCGGCAAATAACGCACTTGAGTGGTTCAGAGTGCAGAGTTCTCTCGGGCATCATACATAAGGATGAGACTCATATAACTCAATTCTCAAACTCAAGGAGATTCGCTACCAAAAAAACCCAAAACAAAAACCAAACAAAAAAACACGCAACCCAAACCCCACAGCAATAGGTAAGCAAGTTAAGCAAGTCCTTGCTGTGACAGGGACACATGAATCTCATCACTTAACGTCCTCCTGAACTACATCGATAAGGGAAAATTGTTCTTTGCAGAGGCTGGCAGAGTTTCTGATACGAATCCTTCTGCCTTCATCACAGCTGCCCTCATGGTGGCAGACTGCCCTAGCGACACTGTCCCTGTTCCAAAGGCTAGCGAGGGAGTTTGGGCAATAAACACGAGGTCAATGGATCATTCAGTTAAACAATTTATCCTTCGGTGCTAATCCAATTCAAATCCTCCCCAAGTCCCAAAGTCAGTCACTGAAGGGCAAGTGGGCATTACAACACGTAAGGTTTTATAAAACAAGCCTTTGTGCTCATTTAGAAATGAAGAGCTCGATGAAGACAGTCAGCTCAATTGTTTTCTGGACACACGAACGAACCGCGACATGGACGGCGGTACCGAGCACCTGGGTTTGCTTGTTCCCGCCTCCAGCACCATGAAGCCAGGTGTGCGTCTCCCAAGAAATGAATCACAGACTCTCTACGAAGCTCAGTAGTTGAGGCAAACGTGATCGGACGGATTGCATGAGCAACTACTCCACCTAGCTGTCAACACTGATTTGGACTTGCTAACAGGTAAGGCTTTCCAGTAGGTTCTCCAGCTGGCAGCCTTTCTAGCATGAATTAAAAAAGGAATTTTGGCGGCAGTGAAAGATGGAGCCTACTGATGTGAGCCTGAAGCCGCGTCAGTGTGCTGTTCAAACAGCTGGCCCGTTCTGTCTGGACGGGCTGGGGCCAGGTGTCGGCCCTGCTTGGGCCAGCTGGTGGTCGTGGGCTAAACTCAGGCAGCAGTGTGCGGCTTTGGGGCTGGTGGGGCTTTGCTGATTTCCATGGTGCAAATATCCGGGTTCGATTCCAAGCTGCCAATGGCTGAACAACTGGCTGGCAAAGTTCTGAACATCTAACGAGAGCTGGCAGGAGCTGACTCCAGCACGCCAGTGGGATGGCTGTTTGGGGGTCATTCTCCATCCTGAGCTCCCACTCTGAAAACCTAAGGATTAAGTGTCTCGGGGGAACTGCAAGCTGCTCAGGCCCGAGCATAGGGCCTGGCACAGGTTAGCACTCAATAAATATCTACCGACTAAATCAATGTTGGAAACTGTTGGAAGATCACTTCTGAAACCGCCAATTGTTCAGCAACGATAGAAAACAGCAGTTAAGTAAGCGGAAGTGGCTTCTCCGACGTCCCTTCCCAATTTAGAGACAGTATCAGCTCAACCCAGCCCATCTCCCACGGCGAGGCCCGCACAACCTGAAGACGCGACGCCTACCTGCCGCTGCTCGTTCTCACAGGTTTAAATGTGAGTGAGTTCTTAAAGCCACTTACCATGAAGGATCTGACCACGACGTCTGGCATCTGGGGCAGCTGGTAGTGTAGCAGGGCGGTGGTGGCATGGTCCGTCACCTGGAAACCAAGGACAAGGACGCAGTTAGAGGCGCAGAGAGAACAAGACGAATGCAGTCCTTTCAGATGACAAAAATCTGCTTTTAAATGTCTCTTGAAGAAAAGGACATCCAAAATTAAATCTGAAGTACCAAAATCAGTTAGCAAAATTGGGAGGGGGGGCGAAGGGGGGCTCGGAAAGGAGGAAGGCATGCAGGCCTGGAGGCAAGTGGAGTGTGGAATGTTCCAGAAACGGAAAACCCCCTGGGCGGGAGCCGGGGTGTAGCGAGGCAGAGGCTGCGATCTCAGAGGGAGTGGCTCACCAGCGGTCGCTGTGCACAGGAGCCTTCCCATCTGTCCACACCTACTTCACCCCGACAGGGAACGGCTCCTGGCAGTGTGACTGGTCCTTGTGTTTCCTTCCTCTCTCACTCTGTCTCAGAATTTGTGGCCATGTAGGTTTTATGACCAGGGATCTGGTAATTTCTGACGATCCTTCCTTTGTGCCTTGCTGTTAATACCTTTCTGAGGCGCCTGGCCAAAGTGTTCCTCAACCAGCTCTCGGGAAGGCGGGGCCTATTTTCAGCACCCTGCTGGGCCACGCCCCTCCCGTAACTCCAAGAAGAGGCCTCACCAGCAGGGCCAAGGGCACCACTGCCTGGTGACCGGATGGAAGGCACCCTGAGTTTAGCCCCGGCACTGTCCGCTGACCCCGATCCAATTACCTGACCTCTCTGGGTCCCAGTGTCCCTTCTGGAAAACAAAGGGCTGGTCTAAGATCCCTTGGAGCTTGGAAATTCGATGACACCACGATTGCTAATGCCTGCTATCCATCAGCAAGTTAACAGGTTTAATCTAATTTGATGGTTATGTTCTAACACATGGTTTATTTGATTGTCCTCATTAGGGATTCCTGCCATTACAAATGCTGTGGTTAAACAACAAAATAAAACTTTGTGCACAAGAACCAACACGGGTCTACCTTGTGTGGACTTACCAGTTTCCAGGCCCCCCGAGAACACTGTGTGACGTGCTAGGGGCCTAAGGGCAGTGAAGCTCACTAGTCAGGTAGAAGCCAGAAGGGCTGGACCAGGCCCCATGATCAGAAATGAGTCCACACCCAAGGTCAGAGAGGGCACGCCCCTCAAAGTGAGGGTACAGGCACCCCGGCGTCCATAGTCTTCCAGACCCTCTCTAAGCCTCAGTTTCCCCGTGGATATAATGGCCGCGCAAGACGTGAAGCCTTACCCTCCAGCCTGCCCCCTTCTCTTTTGATCTCCCGTGCTCTGGACTTGCCCTCTGCCCCCACCCCCCAGACCTTCACGGCCTGCTTGGTGGCTGGTGAACCGCACTAGCTGCTCAGCTCTGTAGGGGCAGGGATCACACTGTGTCCCCCCGGCCTACGACATCCCCCGGCATTATTAGCCGGTGCTCAATACATATTTGTTGAATAGAGAAACTTAAAAATGCCCACTCCCAAGGCCACAAACCAGAAACCCCTGCCCCGGCCGTCCTGCAAACCCAGCGAACGGTGCAGGTATTCAACCCTGCTGAGGGATTCTCATCCAAGTGACTTTCAAGATAAACGGTGCTTATTCCTTCAAGTGCATAGACTTTTTATTTTAAGCATTTTGACAGCTTTCTATTATGAGCAATGTTTTTTTTTTAAACAGTAGTAATGATAACTTGGCAAAATGGCGGGTGCCTGGTAGGGTGAAGTTAACTGCTGCTACAGAGCAGCAAACTCGGCCCAAGGGTCCCGAGCTTGGCGGCTTGGTTCTTACCCGTTCAGATGACTTGCTTAAAAAAATCCCGCAAGTGCCATTTTATAAGCTGATAGGACATTCCCTACAATCACATGTGCCATTACAAAAGAAACCAAGTTTCTGGAGAATTCTTTCTCCTGCCCCTACCATTTAGTTTCCAGTGCCCCTAACACAGCCACCAGTGCCCCACACATCGCCACTGTCACAGCACGGAAGCCAGGCTGGCTTTGTCATCCCTGCTGTCCCCAGGGACGAGTCCATTTCAGCAGCTTGAGCACCTGGCCTGGGGTCTGATTCTCTAACCAGATGGCCAACCAGAGGCCACCTCCCAGGCCGGATGGCTGTTTGGCTGCACTTTATCTTTGCTTTTCTTCTTATGGTTTTTAACACGAATGACCAACATTTAACATTCAGGAAACTTCACCCACTCAGACCCCCAGCTTTTCTGGAAGTGTCCGAAGGTCTGGGGGCAGTAACAGTGCACCTGCCTCATGGGTCACGGTGAGGGTGAGGGTGACACGGGTCCAACATGGGATGTGCGGGCACAAGGCCCAGGTCCAGGTGTTGCTGAGCGTAGCCTGGCCCTGTCCTGGCCCCCACATCCCAGTGGCCGTCGCCAGTGGGGCCCAGGTGGCTTCAGGGCAGGGTACACACTGCAGCTTGCCGGCATCCCCGGGTCTCACGCCCAGCCTGCTTCACCCTTGCGGCCTTTGGGGTTTAGGGCCTCTCCCCAAACACTGCCCAGCGTCTGCCCCCACCCTCCTGCTCCCTGGGTGCCTGGACTGGCGAACTTGTGCCCGTCTCCTCCTCCCTCTGGAGTTGACCTCTTCTGGCTGAGTTCTGACAAGTGCGCGGTGCCGAGCCAGGCAAGGCATCACGCTCATGACAGGAACGACTAACGCCTCTTCCAGACCTGCTCCTCCTGGTGCTGAGGGGTGACCCCGCCGCCCACCCAGGGGTCTAAGCCAGGCACCTGGGCTTGTCCCACCGCTCAGGCTCACTCGTCTCCGAGGCCTGGCGTTACGAAGCATCCGTCTTGAATACCCCCACCTCTTCCCACTCCAGCCCAAGCGCGGCTTCCCCGTCAGGACCAGAAGAGCCCAGCTGGCTCCCCCCACCTGCCCTTGTGCCCTCCAGTCCTGCCTCAGAAGGGCTGGGGCTCTGCAGGTCTGAATTCTGGCTCCACCTCCTCCAGCAATGCCACCCTGGGACAAATGACTTCATCTTTTTTAGCTGTTTTCCCATCTGGGGAATGGGGATAAGAACAAACAGTACCTGTCACATGGGACAACCGTGAGGCTCACATTACCGGTAAGTCATACATGCATACTGTTCAATAAGCACTAGTGATTAAGCTATGAATCAAACTGGAAACCTCTCAGACACGTGACCACACTCAGGACAGAATCCAGGAGTGAGAAGCTGGCATTCAAGACGCTGCAGGGCCTGCTCCTCTGCCCTCCTCTCTGAAAACATCTCACCCCCCCTACCCCAACCCCCCGAGTGCTCCGTCTCCTCCCCGCCTCCTGCTCCTCTTTCTGGGCCGGGTTTAGACCCATGTGCTTAGGGAAGACTCCCAGGTTTCCCTGTGGGTCATGTCTCCTTGCTCGGATCATTCTTTGCTTAGCGCCCGTTTCCCTAACTTGGCTGTGAACTCTGAGAGGCCAGGCCCTGTCTGTCTAGTGCCGGACACGGAGGCTCTCGGTGCATGTGGGGAAGGGAAACGGAAGCTGCGGACTCAGGACCACGGGTGCCCCCTAGCCTGCTGGGAACCCTGGCCTTTCCGTCTGTGCCAGGGGTCCCTAGGGCTCACTGCCCGGCTCCCCTGTCCTCCAACACATGGGAGCTTTTCAGTTAGGTGGGGCCGCGTGGCTGGTTCCAGTCAACACACCAGGAAGTGGAAGTGGTGTGTTCCTTCCGTTTGGAGGCGTGAAGGGAAGTGTGCATTCTCCATGCCCTGACCCCTCTGCAATGCTAGGAGCCGCCTACAGGTGGCGGAGCCTCGCTTAGGCCTGGGTCCCTGAGTGAGCAGGAGGAGCCCGGCCCTGACAGCTCAGGATGGGTGAGCAGCGTGAGCCAGAAATGCTCACAAGCGACAAAAAGTGTGAAGTCTATTGGTTACAGCAGCATCACCTCTCCTCTTCACGCTGACATAGCCTCCTTGGAGATTTGTTTCCCGTTTGCCAGGTCCCCCAAGTGAGGGCGCACATGAGTTCAAGCTGCGGCCAAGGAAATGTCCCCTCTAGCCTCTAGAACAGTGCTGCTTGAAATGTGGCTCATGGGCCAGCAGCGCTGGCACCACCGCGTCCCGGGCCCCTCGCAGCCCTAGCCTCAGACTCTCTGGGAGGGGCCCAGAAATCGCGCTGGTCTCCGCAGCTGTTCTGCGGTGCGAAAATGCAGAAGGATGCAAATGTTAATGAGCACACAGTCCCGGGGGACCCTGCTACCAAGCACACGCTGATTAAGTAGGTCTGGGGTGGGGCTTTTTCCAGACTGGGCATTTCCAACTGACTCCCAGGTGACACCAGGCTGCTGGCGAGAGGCCAGGCTTTGAGCAGCCAGGTGGCAGAGTATTCCCAAGGGGGCAGGCATTTGATTCTGAGGCACGAAGCGAAGGAGCACAAACCTGAAGGGACAGCCTGTCTCTTGCGAATCTGCCTGAACTCCACAGTGGTGCTGTGGACTGGCGGGGAGACATTTCCACGGGTGCTGGCGTTCCCACTTCTGGAAGGTGCTTCCTCAGGACCCTCGGATTATTAACTTATCGGCACTGCATCAGTGCGAGTTTATGACGCGTGCGCCCTCGCACTGAATCCCACAGCAGCTGAGGTGGGCGTGCTCCTTATTCCCACTTTACAGAAGAGGAAACGGAGACTGGCGCGCGGCGGGCGGGGGTGCCCAAGGTCACGCACACGGTGAGGCGCGCATGGTGAGACAATGCACACGGTGAGGCGCACACGTTGAGGAGCACATGGTGACGTGCACATGGTGAGGCGCGGCGGCTGAGCCCGGACACTGCAGGCCTGAGCCCACGCTGCCTCCCTCCCCTGGCCAGCTCGCCGGGCTTGCTGATGGAGGCTTGTGCCCCAGGGGCCCCAGGCATCATCTGCCCAGCACCTCCCAGCTTGGTGAAGTTTTTGGAAAGCCAGGGTCCCGATGTGAGGCGCAGCCTGGATCTGTCATGGTGGCCACTAGAGCAGAACAAACTGAATTATCTGGGAAATGTCCTCCTTCAGATGTGGCTGCTGTCGGGCA